GAAGGTCATTCATTTGAACAAACTTTGTAGCCCTTCATCTCAGCTAGCTACTGGCCAAATATCATCACCCTGGGCATTTTGGTTATTCAGAAGAAGTTGTTTAAAGTTTCTAACATATTTGACCCCTGTGACCTTGAATATGGGTGAAGGTCATTCATTTGAACAAACTTTGTAGCCCTTTATCTCAGCTAGCTACTGGCCAAATATCATCACCCTGGGCATTTTGGTTATTCAGAAGAAGTTGTTTAAAGTTTTTAACATATTTGACCCCTGTGACCTTGAAAATAGATGAAGGTCATTTATTTGAACAAACTTGGTAGCCCTTCATCACAGTTTGCTTCTGGCCAAATATCATCACCCTAGGCCTTTCGGTTATTAAGAAGAAGTCGTTAAAGTAAAATATTGACGCCGGACGACGGACGGACGGACGACGGACGGACGACGGACGCCGCACCACGCCATAAGCTCACTTGGCACTACGTGCCAGGTGAGCTAAAAACCGCTGTCTCATAATTAATCGAATGGACGGCATAAACAGCTTAAAAAAAGTTACACGGAGACATTTTAAAATAGCTAATTACGACGGGTTCACAATAAACTTCACCTTTACAACAAATACTTTCTAGCTCCCACTTAATTTTAGCTTTACATCATGACAGGATTAAAGCAGCTACTTCCGAAGTCCCCACACTAAATACTAGTTGTTCAACCTACAATAGCTATCTCTGTGTTACACATTCAAGAGATAAATATGTCCTTTATCTGGTACTCAAATGTTAATATGATTATGTTTTTTACAATTGGTAATTATGAAAAGTTAAAAAATGAAATATGTCCTTTCATACTACAAAAAAGCCAGAAGATATTATATCTTTGTGACTAAGCTGCAAAACAATAACGTGAGCCATCGTTAACATAGGTTAGACGTGACTGTGTGAATATAAACATATTTTACCGAATTTCGAATTCATAAGAAAGATGAAAATTCATTGATTTTAGTCATAATTTAGAATACTTACATACTTGTTACGTAGCGATTTCATTTTGTCTTTCAAAACATTGTCGACTAAAACATGTTTTACACTTGGAAACAATGATTTTATAGTGAATTATATCAAAACAAACGACGGAAAGCAAATTAAATAATTCCTTTTTGTAAACCACTAAAAGAGCGTACGTGCAATGTCAATGAGTTAAAATATCCCAACTAACTATTTATACTGTGTACCGGGAAGTTTTCGCCCAGCAAAACTATGTCCTTCGTCTGAATAATCCATTTTCACCAAGTGGTAATTTCTTCTTCATATTTGAGTACAATGCATACCATGTTGTTTAATACTATTCGCTGTAGTGATACGGTTGTCCTCATCACGGAGGGCGAAAAAGGCGAAAATAATACCTTGATTTATTGTCTGTCTGTACAACCTTCCTAAGCTACAAACTGATTACCTGGTCATTTTGCTTCTGTCCTTAAAAGTTACATAATTAACCTACCTGAAGATATTGTTCCCTGTCCTGTGGTTCCATCGCCAAAGCTCTGGCCAGTCGCACCAAGTCACCGTAACTTTCGAGATAGCTCCGCTTCTCTGGCACGAACGCTTTGTAGTGAGTCTCTGGTTCCTTGGAGAAGGGGAAAAAGTAAGATTCCCTCTTATTTCCAGGGACAAAACTAAGCATGTCTTGGCGCTTAGATGGCAAGAAGTATCCCATTTTGCCATCGTACAGGACAGGTGTACCATATTCTTCTTCGTCTTCATCTGCGTAAGGCAAGCCCTCCTCTGCTGCTAATTCCTCTTCTAACGCTTCTTCTGGGAACAACGTGTATGGCTCATTGCCGAGTATTTCCTGTTCCGGTAATACTCTGTACATGGCATCTTCTTGTTCCTGTTCCTGTTCCTGTTCCGGGTAGAAGTAAGGGAATAGGCTGCTGTCCCCGTATGGCAGTTCACGCTTTATACGGTGATTTCTCTTGATCTCACGGTTTCGAAGTCGTGACATGAGTGTACTTGATGCCCTTCTTCTGCGTCCGTTTTGGTAGTTTCTGTAGGCGTCTGCGTAATTATTAGGATAGGTGGACAGGAAATTCTGGTAGTTCCTATACATACGGTAAGCTTCGAGAGGGTTTTCTGAAAATGGAAATCAACGTTATGGTGGAGTCGTTCTTAACACAAATTCCAAAGTAAATCGACAATACATTATAACGAATTTGTCATGGAAAACAGATGAGTTCCGTAACTTGTATTTTATTCAAAGATATATGGTATTTAAACTGATCAATCATTATAATATATGCAACGTTCAATGATATTTTTTTTTCAATTATTGAGAAAATAGGTAAAACCATCTTACCGAGCATTTCTAATGATTGCTCGGCACCATTGTCCTGTCTTTCAGGCCCGTCAGGCCCGTCAGGCGCGTCTACGACCTCTGCGAATTGTTCTTGTGCGTTGTCGCCATCGTCTACGGGTTCCGAGTTCACCATGTTTTCTTGCATCAGCTCCTTGATGGCTTCGTTATTTTCGGGAGAGATGCCATTATTCTGGAGAAGCAACTCCTGTTGTGGTTCTTCAGCCGCCGCAACTGCGGCTGCCACATCCTCGGGATTAACAACTTCTACTGTGTTTTCCTCAGTGTCCGCACCACCATTGCTCCCTTCAGTGGAAACAGAATGTTCCTCAATGGGTGTTTCTGGCTCTTCATCACCCCCTGGCAACGTTTCTCCAGCCTCGTCCTCTGCAACCTGTTGTGCCATTTGTTCCTCTTTTATAATCGTATTCAGTTCTTCTTCCACTTTTGCGGCAGAGTCTGCACTATTGCCGGAATCTGGTTCCTGCATAACGGCGTCATCTTCGTCATGGTCTTCAGGGGTTAATTCCTTAGGAGTCTCAGCAAGCACGGATCCAACGTTATCTGCTAACATGGCCGGGTCACTCTTCTTTTTAATTTTTGGCAGATTTTGTTGGTTACCGAAGCCTATTCCTTCTTCTGACCGTTTCACTGAAATAAACCATTGATATATTAAGTAATTAACTGAACAAACTGCTTAACTTATCAGTGATTTTCTTTGTCAGCGTGAAAATTAATTTTGATTAACGATTGTATCACCCTGGTAAAGTACTAGCTGACTCGACTAAGAAGAATTTCTATCATTTGATAGAGCAGAAGATTAGTTAAAAAGAGGTCCCGGGTTCGATTCCTAGAGGATGGGTACATTGAAAAGATAGTCACCTCTGTTACATTGGCGCCAATAAAGGGATTCGGGAACTATTGCAAAAGTGATCAGCGATACTTTCATAAGCATCGCTATTTTTTCCCTGTAGGGGTAGTATATCGACCTGATGAAATAGGAGCCGCTTCCTACCGAATCAGCTAAAGAGGATTTCTCGTCAGCTCATTCAGTAGAGCGTAAGACTATAACCAGTGGCCCTGGGTTATACTCCTTGCAGAGGCATTGGATAAATAGTTTCATTTGTTACAATTATTTCTAACAAGACTACTATGTTTTAAAATAAGTATACTCATGTCCTAATGTTTTCCTATCATTTCATATCATCCATAGTGACGTCAGAACCAAGACAATTGACATGACGTCGTGATACTAGAACGCAACACGGAGATAAAAAAAAAAAAAAGGATGGAGAAAAAATTGGCGGCTCTGAAACTTACCACGTACATGTACCACTGCAAAAAAACTGTAAATAGGCATTGTGAAATGTTTTCTTGCATGATAATACTTGTCATTGTGCCACACATTTAGATAGATAAGAACAAACCGATATAGTTTTCTGGTAGAGTAAGGGCTGATATAATTTAATGTTTACGTTATAATGTGTTTTCATATTAGGTATTTAATGTTTGAAATTCAATTATCCTAGTTGCTTGTGCCGTGCCTTAACTGTTAAATAGCGCTTGACGTCATGCCTAAAAGCTAGCAGTGATGTGTTTTATATTTATCGAAACCGCCTAATACATATTACAACTAAATGACTAATTATATACATTATTATATTTATTTAAGCTGCAATAGAGCATTGAGAACCACAATACCGTTATTCGATTCCTTACCCCTTTCATAACTACCTTTCTGATTGTGTAAATCATAAGCTCATCTTGTTCATCGGTTTGCATAACAGATACAGTTCTTTGCGGAGAGAGGAAAACGTTTTAAGACACGACATTATAACGTTATATTGTTGTCCTCTCGACACAATGATTTAGTCACATAAATACGTCATCAAATATCATCATGATTAAAAGACATTAATACGTTTATGTGCACATGCACTATAGAACAAAACACGAATTCTAATTATTCATTTTCTTGTCAGAACGACTCATTGGCGTCCTTTACAGTAATAACGGTATTATACAGAACAACAGATATATAGGAAACACTATCTGTAGTTGTAGTTGCCAGAGATAATTGTTTGACTCACCGATTGGTTTCTTTTCCGCTTCATTTTCCTCCAGTAACGGTGCACTCAGTGCCAATCCGAGGAGGGAAAGTAGTACCAACACACGCATGCTGTCGATGGGCCTGACAGTTGCCTCTGCACGGTCACACTGAAAAAACAAGATAATTAACACATAAAATAGCACTTTCACCCACCACCGCCGTCTTACACTAAGTCATACGTCACTCACTTGTTCAGGAACGTTATGTGGTGCCATGGAGACAATGTTTAGTGACTATAGTGTCAGCCTTACAATAAATATTAACTTTATTTCAGGTTATATAAATCACTCTTAAAATGGTTCTGGTAAATATGAAATTTTAGCAACAACGTACGTTTGCAGTCTCAATACTTGGAGTATGTAATCCCAATTATTTACAAATCTTGAAACATTTACCGTCCCTAGCAGATATGGCGAATCAGCTGTTATTAAAAGTACAATTAATTGAACACTGATAGCACTTTTAAGTTATATCCTAATTTCGACCGACGATACATTGTCTTATCTCAGAATAATAAATTCATAGAAAAAATCTCATATTTAGATACATACTACGCTAGTAGGAAAAGAGACTCGGATACATCTATTATCTATTATGTGTATAATATTAATATTATCAATAATATTAATCATAATTACTAATTACTTACCATTTGTAATATTTCGTTAAAAAATAAAATTTAAGTCACCAAATTAATTATTTAAGTGACAATGAGAAGCATCAGTTATTAATATTAATATTATCTATTATGTGTATACTTGTTACTTTACTCTGTACTAAATACCATAAAGCTTTCACCAGAAAAAAATTAACAGAACTATCACCAAATAAAGCCAACAAGTAATTAGTTAAATGCCACGAGTTATGTGATGTTTTCCACAAAGAGTTAAGACCCATTGACATTTCCATTACAAGCCTAATTACTCCGTCATCAATCCGCGATGTTACTGCCTGGAGTGTGCTGGTCATTGCGATACACTCTAATCTGTCCAGTGACGTGTTCTCTTAAAAAACGTCCATTTCCTTATTATTAACAGAACATCAACGGATTGGACAAATTGCGTTACAACCAATTTTGCCAGTTCGTTGATAGATTTGTGCAGGTGATTCAAGGGGTAAAACTGAGTATACATGTTATCCCTACCCACATCGGTCTGGCCCTGTTTTCAACTGCGATGTTGGATTCAACAGTAACCATTTGTAATATTTCGTCAAAAAATAAAATTTAAGTCACCAAATTAATTATTTAAGTGACAATGGGAAGCATCAGTTATTAATATTAGTATTATCTATTTTGCGTATACTTGTTACTTTACTCTGTACTAAATACCATTAAGCCTTCACCAGAATTTTTTTTTACAGAACTATCACCAAATAAAGCCAACAAGTAATTAATTAAATGCCACGAGTTATATGATGTTTTCCACAAAGAGTTAAGACCCATTGACATTAACATTACAGCCTAATTACTCCGTCATCAATCCGCGATGTTACTGCCTGGAGTGTGCTGGTCATTGCGATACACTCTAATCTGTCCAGTGACGTGTTCTCTTAGAAAACGTCTATTTTCTTATTATTAACAGAACATCAACGGATTGGACAAATTGCGTTACAACCAATTTTGCCAGTTCGTTGATAGATTTGTGCAGGTGATTCAAGGGGTAAAACTGAGTATACATGTTATCCCTACCCACATCGGTCTGGCCCTGTTTTCAACTGCGATGTTGGATTCAACAGTAACCATTTGTAATATTTCGTCAACAAATAAAATTTAAGTCACCAAATTAATTATTTAAGTGACAATGAGAAGCATCAGTCATTAAAACTAGGTTTAGATATAAAAAATAGATTTTAAATCTTAAGACAAATGTTTCTATTTCCTTGTGCATCCCTCCCTGACAGAAATATTAGTATTGTTACACTCTTTCTTTCGGAATTAGAATTCCGACCGACTGCATGCGTTATCCAATTAATTTTACTGCTGTGTTTAATCTCCGACAACCATCTGCGTCCCAGGCGTCTCCGTAGGGCCTGGCTGCAGTGTCTTCCGTCAGAGTTAAATCTAATTGGTGGCGATTGCACGAGACCGCCCACGTCACAATCACAAGTCTATTTTGGAATTATAGATCTCAAAGAGGAGTAAAAGTTGTACAGATCATTGATAACGTCATTGCAACAGAAATAATTGCAATAATTCTATAAATAGTTGACTAGTTCATGTTTTCTGTTGGTACAAGGGTCATACAAGACCCATTCTCTTTGTTAAACGTCAGCAGCGGTATCTTAACATAAGGCTCAATATTGGCGGTATCAATATGAGTTAATATATCTTTCATCCCTCGCACTTATATGTGATATGTTTGTAATGGGAGATTTGTACGCTTATATATGTATATACCCTATTAATGTAATGGTTTTACATCGGAACTCGTTCCTGGAGATCAGATGTTTCCTCTATCATATCTACCGACACTTAGTGTCACATATCTGTGCAGCGCCAATCAATGCGAAAGTTATTGTTATTTTATCAGATAAAATTTCTACCCACCCGTTTGTCTCAGTGTACAGAACGATTCACATGACAGTATATTGATCGAGTCTAGGGAAAACATTAATGATGGATGGGGGCCCTTTAATAGTATTCTGTCTATACATAAATGCATGACGGGTAGGCGTGTACTCTCATATAAAATATATTTTGTTCGTCTCGGGAACCGTAAAAATAGAATGGTACCTGTCTATCACCTGTATGTACGGTACCTATGCTAGTTTGATGTTTAGGTATAATATAAATATAAAACCAACTTTAATGTTTCCAAAGGAAATTTTAATGTAATGTGCATCGTAGCATAGCGAACCAAAGTCTAAATTTTAAGTTAACTTTATTTATAATTCAGTAGAACTGTGTCAGTACAGTAGGCGTAGAGTATATCAGTGTTCACATCAACTACATTGTGTCATCTTTACTCCTACGCTACAAAGTCTAGGTGCTATATAACAAGTATTGGAAGTAACACATCAAACATATTACATGTAAACAAACCTAGGAGACGTTCTAGACCTCCATTTATCATGTCAATTTTCCTTAAAGCACCGGAGTCTATACATCCAAAAAGTGATGAAGCATTTATACTGAGAAACTCTGCTCACTTCGTACGAATCTGCGACATTACGTACAGATTAACTATAAAACCCCTTGGTCATCCCTTATAATTTAATTCGAAAGAAGATATTATTAATTTAGAAAGTTATTTGCTGATTATTAAATCAAGAGAAACGAAATATTTAATCAATCAAAAATTAGCATTTCGAAAAATGGGAGGGACAGGGAGGAAAGAAGAGGTAGAGGACGGGCATGCAATAGTTAGATCCAACATTATTGAATAAGATAGCGCACATCAACATTGTAAATCGGCAAGGAACTGGAGGAAATTGACATAACAGAATCTGGGAAGTCAGGAATTATGTTGGTTTATGAGAAACGAGCAAAAAATAAATCGGATTTGGTGACGCAAATGAAGTTGAGACCACGAATACTTGACTTTATCGGCAACGGTTTATAGCGCATTCAACATGGCGGATTTATTTCCGGGCAACCACATATTTAGAATATAATCCGCCAGTCATGATTTTTAAGACATCACCTGACATGGTGTAGTTTCAGAATGGAAATCTGAGTGCAGAGTGTGAACATTACTCTGTCGACATGAGAATAGCACATCGGACTAGCGGTATTATAACACTGTTTCATAACGTAATTGCTATTATTTCAAAACGTAGATAAAAATACCATGTCATACCGTATCGTTACCCCACAGATACACAATCTCAACTTACGAAGAGACATTCACATTAAACGAAAAGATATTAAAACATCATGTCTCTTTTGACCGGTCATACATGTATCTGTTCATAGCATAGTGTCTAAAGAGCAAGAGGTTTCGCTGGCCATTTTATGTGTGTGTATGATCGATGGAATCGCTGTGCTGATGTCATTGTCGGTTAGAATGATGGATTTACACGTGTATGCACATTACTTAATAAGTACCACAGAACCATGGAGGCGATAAAATGGCATCGGAATCATCAGAACCCCTTTAATCAGTGACCGTCACACCGTTATAGCTTGAACATTCATATGATTGAAGACATCATTAAAGCGGGAAGGTATTACACCATAAACGTCATAGAATCCTGTACTGAAGAATGAGTTGCAGCCTCAGTTTCACCAGAGGCCGCTATGTTAAGAAATCATGCATCATGGGAAATTTGAACGTTGGAGAAAGTAAGACTGGCTCCTCGGCATACAAATTAACGAATGAAAGCTTTAAACATATGTATTTATTTATTCATTTTCTCTTTAGATTTCACGAATGATCAAACTACAAAGTGTGTAACGCGTATATGAACCCATCTGCTACAACCGATATGGCGAAACTAACAGCTTTAAATATGTGCGTATACAGAAGTGTATTTTGAATATACTCTCTACCCTACTCAAACTTTGATACGTGTGTTAGAATTAATAAATCACTGTAACGACACTACAGGTCTTACATGTAAACCGGCTCTGAAATTATATACTAAATCGATATTATCCCTTAGTTGATCTAATTCATTTTTGGAATGGTTCATAGTAAGGCCACACACCTTATATATATATTTGCTGGTGATTTATTCCATACTATTTCAGTATGGAGACCTATTTGTAGAGATTGCCACCTGATGCCGGAACTATCTTTAATTAATCCTTCCATATGATTTTGTAAATATACGTTTTATATCAAACAGTTTTAAATGTTCTTTTTTTTCATAAAGAAAATGATGAAATTTGCTTTTTTATTATATCTGTTTTTAAAAAAATCTTAAATTATATCTTATGAATAATTACTCCGAATTTCTGTCTCTGCTACTGCTTTTCTAATGACAGTTTCCCTGAGGTCCCTTCCTAGGTGTTTATTCATCACTTGACTCGTACATTAGTTAATTCCCGTATAACATCTATTTACCAAATGCGTTTTTATTTAAAGCTATATAACTGTTCAATCAGTATTCTACTCCACAAGTCATCACAATTATAACTGATATATACCATCAGGTAATTTTC